TACTTTTGTAAACATAAGAAGCAATTAGTAGGTATTATGCAATTCTAAAGATTTAACTGCACTTTCCTACTAAAGCAAATAAATATAAAACATTTCAAAAAGCTCTATTTACCCTGATGGCAACACCTTCATATTTTTTAACCCATGGTTTAATTAGAAATCTTCCCTGATAAAGATCAGAGCCCTCTGTACTACTGATTTTGAAAGGAACCCAGCAGCAAACTATGAACCTGAGGCAAAAGAAAAATATTTATGTGTCTTAGAAAGATGTTAGAATAAATGTAAAGTGGCAGACCAGAGAAGGTGAGATATATTTTAGCACAACCACTGCTAAAGAAGCATAAACTTTCATAATGATTCTGCTATTTATTTGCAATTTTTCCTGGCCAAAAATAATTGTTTTATTTAAAAAATGTTTCTTAAAAATATAGACCAACACTGTAAGTGGCTTCACAACTGAAAACTACAAGTCCAAATATATTCACTGTCTTTCAAAAGAATGAGGTTAAAGAAGGTAAAACAGGTCAAGTGTGTTGTCTGAAAGAATGAGACAACTGTAAATTCTCTCAAGTGGGGATGAGCAGTCATGAAGAGGTGCTACTGTCCTCACGGCCATAAGTGATGCTACAGTTCTTCTCAGATTGGGCCAAGACACCTTAAGGATCTGATATGGTTCTAATAATCCTTTTGCCTTTTAACTATGTGAACCTTCTTACTCTTGAATGATTTTTGCCTTTCTTGTAATAACTGTCACTTCTTGGCCTATATTTAGTAGCAGAGAAAAGATGTTTTGGTACTATCTTGAAACAACCATCAGCATTTAAGATAATTTCTTTTAAATCCTGAGAAGTTTACCACCTGAGTGCAAATGTTGGAGTCCAAACCATAAAACCTTATAACAGAGATGATGACGATGTTTTATAGATACATTAAAAAGTCCTGAATCCTTTCATCTAACGATAAGTGACAGTAGGGTTAACAACACTGGAGGCCTATTCCTCTAGTGCGCCTGGAAGGTGAAGGCTGTGCGAATGGGCCTAGCGCTCAGATGTGCTGGGGTATTAAAGTAACAAAGCCATGTTCCAGGGGAAAACGTCGTTGCCCTCCTAGATGTCTTTGGCCTATTTTTTTCAGCTTTGCTAGGAGTTAAAGTCCACAAATAAATGAGGCTTTAACTAAATTTCAAAAACTGAATGGCTTATTTGAACAAATATTGGAGGGAAAAGGTAGAGAGCAGGGTTTCAAAGTACAGGCTTAATCATGTTATATAATTTTCACTTATTTTATAAGATATTAAAAATTTTCTTGTTTTCAGGAAAAGCTCCACAAATCTATCAAATTTTGAATGTTTTTAATGTGACATCATCAGTGTGTCAATGGCATTTTGCATCTTTAATCCAAATTTGTTCAGGAACATCTTGTATACAGCTACAATGATGTCCAATTCTTTTGTTGAAAAGGGAAGATATCTATAGTAATTTTGAGAAGCACATTTCCTAAAAAGTTCACACACAGCTGGAGGTTCAAACTATGCTCAGGGGAGCCCCAGAACTGTGAGAAGCTCCTCACAGGCCTTGGTGAGGACAAGGTGGAGGGTGAGGGGAGGTAATTAGGGGCTTCTCCCCACCCCCTCCACTCTTTAACCAGAGAAGTTCTGCTTTTGTCTATTACATATGATTCAGGTAATATTTTGTTTGGAAAATGGGTTCTGCACTTAAGAAGATTTGAAAACCACTCATTGTTTAAAATTCCCTACCTTATATGCTAAGCCCAGTATTATGGCCTATATAAAAAAGAGATTCTTCTTACATAAAAAATTTCATAATCAACATTTCTTTTTAAAAAAGCCAAGGAAGAGGTCAAAATGGATGCATGCTAAGGCAATGACAGCCAGATTTAAGCCAGGGTAACATCCCAGTGGAACCTGGGCTCCGACACGGCAGAACTTGCCTCATGAGGGCGGTTTTCATGGACGTCATCCACAAGTCCTATCGAACTCCAGCTGATTTGAGCAAAGAATGGAAGCTCAGACCAAGTAAGAAGTAATATCATCCTGGCTCTATACATATTAAAAACCTTGCAGGCCTCAAATAATCAGGGATGAAAAGTATTTTTTCAGGAAAATAGCTGTTGGTTGCAGAGGCTTTATTCCTGTATCTTTATGCCTGTTCTTCCCGCCACCCCCATAAGACCTCTGATCTCCTTTAACTTGTAAAATAATCTTTTAAGGCTCATTTCAGAAATTACCACTTCTCTGAAAGCTTACTTTGGACCAAGACTGTGGGTCACTATCTGGTTCCTTCAGATTTCCTTACTTAAGGATTTTGTTCGGGTTCAGAGGGCCTCAGCCAAGTGTTCCCTTTTGCTTGTGTATCCCCGATACCCAGCATCTATTAACTCCTAATGAAAGTTAATTAAGTGAATAACTGAGTTAAACTATGACTTCAGGGGTAGGAATAGATAAAGAAAACCAGTACTTTTTTGGAATGAGCTGTCTGAGCAAGGGAACCGCTCTTCACCTTTCTAGGTCTTACATTTTTCAATATAACTTAGAGACTCTGGCTTGTCATGAAGTAAAAAGGAATTGGTTATAAACTCCACTTTTTATTCTATTTAGATAAGAGGCAGTCGTAAGGGAGGCTTCTATATTTCTAAACTAAAAATATGCAAGTAACAGATTCCCCCAGACAACTTGTGACTCACGGTCGCCATCTGCTGGAAAAAGGTTGAACACCTGTTCCATATTAAAGATGAAAGTCACAAGGCTTTTAGTAATGGATATTAAATGCACGTACACACTGCAACAATTGTTAAACCTGTAAAATTTATCCATAAACTCTAGGATATTCAGAGAAATATTTCGGGCACATTAAATATTCAACTCCAGAATTTTATTTTTTAGGAGAGCAAGGTACAGGCTTTTATTTAGAGATAAAGTGAAAGGACAGAGCTCATGGCTCACGTCAGGAGGGGACAAGAGTTCCTCCAGAATTTTCTATACTAGCTTCACAAAGAAACAGAATTTAGTGTTTAGAATTAATTTCCAAATCTTTTATTGTCACTTATTACATGTTAATTCTATTACACTACCATGGTGGGGGAGCTTACATTATATTCAGGTTGTGTAGAGAAGGACATAGGAGAAGAATCATTTCCAAATGTGGTAAAAATTTTTTTTTTTACTTCTCAAAAGAAAAAGTAAAGCAAAAGATTAAAAATCAGCACAAAAATTCTCAATCATAAAATAAGTTGGTCACGGGGATGGTAGTACAGCATGTGGAGTATAGCCAATGATTCTGTAACATTTTCCTATGTTGACAGACAGTAACCACACTAGTGGGGGTGAGGATTTAATAATATGGGGAAGTACTGAACCTCTGTGCTGTATATCTGCAACCAATGTAAGACTGCATATCAACTATACTTCAAAAAAAATCAATACCATTAGTACTTCAAGACAACATGTGACTTTGGCTTGAGACTGAAAGAGAATATGGTCTGGCCTCATAAATAATAAAATATTACTTTATTTCTCCATCTAATACCCCAAGACATATCATATATACACATTAGGAAAAAACGGAGAAAGAGAGAAATTCAGTATGTTGACTGATAACGAGCCCCTGACTAGGTGTGTACCTCTAAAGCTGGGAAGTGCATATCAAGTTGGAAGGTACCACACATGCTATCAAGTCCTCTGAGAAATAAGCAGGAGACAAATATAAGTTCAAGCAAGATAGGAGAAACAAACCAGCTCCCAAAGTGATCCCAATCCACCAAGGAGGCAGGAGAATGGCATCTCGAGTCACATGTGACAGTTGTGTACAACACAGAAACCCCTTGCAGCTGGAGCACGACGTGCCCCAGGACTGTACAGAGGGGAGGGTACGTGGGGAGCAGGAAAGGGAAAGAGTCTGGGGAGGCATCAGTGGGGCTGGCTGCCTTTCAAGAAAGGAAGTACCAGGAAGTACACTGCTGGAGAGAAAGGAGGAAGAAAATGTGGGCCTTTACTCACCAAAGGCAAGATCAAGGAAACTGTAGCTAGCAGGCAAGCTTGATTCTATGCAGGAAAAACAGGAGTATAGTTGCAGGGATTATGAAATTAGGAAGTTATTTAATGGAAAGTTAAGGGTTAGAATGAAGATACCTGAGTGACTAAAAATAAGAACTCTGTAGCCAGAGCGAGAATTCTGGCTCACCCTCTCTTATGGAGCTGTGTAATCTCGGCCAAATTACTTAACATCTCTGTTGCCTTGATTTTTTCACCTGTAAAACTGAGATAATTGGCAGAGCCTACATCAAAGAGATGTTGTGAGAATTACATGGGTTAGTAGACTGAAGTGCTATGAAGAGCACCTGACACATATAAAATGTTTGCTATTCTTAATTAAGAAAGCAAGATTTCCGACTACTTATACAGCATCAATCACAGCATATCCATCACTTTTTGCTGAATAGTCTTGGTTCCTTTATATGTGAAATGAGGGGATTTTTAGTTGTGACAGAAATGAAGGGTGTGTGTGTGTAAATGTACAATGAATGACTGGCCCAGTGTAAGTGCTGGACTCTTCAGATATTCTTTATTACTAGCTATAGAGTCATACAAGCTGTATAGTTATATTATTTTGTATTACACATTATATACCTTTATTTACTCCATATACATACACACACATGTGTAACTTGTGTGCATGTGTGATGAAAGTGTGGAGGGGCGTCGGCATATCTCCAGTGATACGGAAGCACTGGCAAGGAGATTGTTGGGCTACCTTACTTTGATTCAAAATTGTGAGGAAAGTGAAGATCTATACAAAGTAATTACAGACACTTTTCAGCAAAACTAATTGGCATTAACATTTGTCAATGCTTAGATTAGAGGAGATTCAACATTAAGTGGTCTGCCATGATATTTTGAATTTTATATAATTGGCACCTTGAGTGAAGGTAGAAGTTTTCTGGAAATCAAACTTTTTATACAACCAAAATAGTTTTCCACGTACCTTTTCAATTAACTCATAACTCTCTTCGAGTTTGAGCAGCCTGTTCTGCACAGATGTAGACGCGCGCTGATAGACTGCTCGCCATTCCTGAAAGTCGCTCTCTGAAATCTCAGCCACAGCAAAACACAATGTTCGCAACCCTGAAAAAGGGTAGCATATGACCACTAACATCAAATAAGGTTTTACTCAGAAGTCTGACATTTCCATTTTTATTTAACAGTCTCATTTTGAAGACTGTTTCAATTCAAACAATATGCTGAAGTCTGATTCAGTATGATACAACCTTAGTATAAAATGTGTATTAGTGTTCCCCCAGCCTTTAAAACTGGCACCCTGCATCTAATTCCCAGCTCTTTCAATCCATCCTCCATGCCTACAGTATCTGCTAAAATCCTTGTACTATCAGGTTATTCCTTTGTTTGAAGACTTTCAGTCATTTGCCAGGATGAAGTCCAAACTCCAAAGTCCGGGTCATTCACCACACATCAACTGTCTTCAACCTCATTCTCTGCCATTTACATAACAGGGTCTCTGCATGGGCTGAGACATTCCACCTTCTCCATTCCACCCTCCCTCCGCTGTCTGCCTTGTATCTACTTTAAGACTGAGTTCTTCAAGGCACCTCTTTGAAGCATGCTCCTTTCACCAGACCTCAAGACAGAAATCCCCAAACATGCCTAGAGTGTGAATGACAATGTTTTATACTGTCTTTCTCGTGGACCTCTTATATTAGCTTAAAGCTCCTGGAATGCAGGGACCTGCAGATCTTCCTATCTGTATCTCCAGTGCTGAGCACAGCGTCTAACTCCTCGTCGTGGTTTCACAGACGTTTGTGAAGGAAGGAGGAGAGGCAGCCAGTCCAGTAGAGTCTCTGGGAAGGCCACCTTCCTCTTCCTGGGATATATGCTTGCATTTATTACTGCTCTTTACCACTGTAAATCTGAAGTACCAGAG